CTGACAAGAAAAAGTACTAGAGAATGAAGATCAATATGAATTCATACAACAGCCTTGTGTTTAAAAAATGGTATCCCTTGTAGAGTATTCCTGTGTTCATGGCTTTTAAATTCTTTTATTGAGCGACCATCCTAAGGAAGCTCATGCAGATGTGCCCCACGGGACAAGTTCATGAATGCTGACACCTGTGTATGTCAAAGTACTAAAAACCACTGACCTTATGGTTTAAATTGACTTTGCTGTCCAGCACATTAAACTGAAGTGCCACAGCAGGACTTGTCTTTAGACATAAATAAAATAGAAGTGAATAACTCAATTAACAGAATTTATTTTATATATGATGATTCCTGATGTGGTGCTGTAGAATCAGTACTGCACTTCAAACCACAAGGTCAGCATTTCAAAACCATCAGCTTTTCCTCTATAATCTTATACAGAGTTGCTTTGAGTTGGAACCAACTCAATGGCACTTAACAACATGTATGTATTATATGTCAGCAACAATATAGCACATTACATGCCCTCTTCTGAATCAGGTTTGACTTTCTGGTCATATTTTAATTATCTTCAGCAAAATTTCACTTGCATATACTAATAATATTGTTCAGTGATTTCCACCCTCTGTTGGATCACCTATCTCTGGAATGAGCACAAATATGGATCTCTTCCAGGCAGCTGTCATCAAAATTTCTGCACATAGATGAGTGAGCACCTACAGGGTTGCATCAGTTTGTTGAAACATTTCAATTTGAATTCTGTCAGTTCCTGGAGACTGTTTTTAGCCAATGTCATCAAAGCAGCTTGAACTTCTTACTTCAGTACCATTGATTCATTATCAAATGCTACTTCTTGAAATAGTGAATATTGACCATTTCTTCTTGACACAATGACTGTTTGTATTCCTTTCCTCTTTGTTGTTGCTTTCTTTATTGTTCAGTATTTTGTTCATAGAATCACTCCATATTGCAAATTGAGACTTGGATTTTTTTTTTTTTTTTCAGTTCTTTTGGCTTGAGAAATGCTGAGAATACTCTTTCCTTTTGGTTCTCTAACTCCAAGTCTTTGCACATTTCATTATAATTCTTGATATTGTCTTCTTGCGTTGCCCTTTGGAATTTTCTATTCAGCTGTTTTACTTCTTCATTTCTTCCCTTTACTTTAGCATCTCTAGGCTGGAAAGTCAATTTCAGAATCTCTTCTGACATCCATTGTGACCTTTTTTTTCTTTCCGGTCTTTTCAACGACCTTTAAATTTCTTCCTGTATGATGTTATTGATGTCATTCCACAACTCTTCTGCTCTTTGTTCATTGGTGTCTAATGCATAAAATCTGTTATATTCAGTTGGATATACTCAAGGTCATTTTTTAACTTTTATGGACTTGTTTTCATTTTCATCAGCCTCAACTTAAACTTGCATATAAGCAACTGATTGTTTATTCCACACTGTGTCCTTGGCCTTGTTTACGCTGATGATATTAAGCTTCTCCATCATCTCTTCCCACATGTTTCCTATATATTTCATTTGGTGAGGTCCTTGTGGACAATGATCATTTATATTGTTGAAAAAAGGTATTTGCAATGAAGAAGCCATTGGTCTTGCAAAAGTCTATTGTGTAATCTCCATTTTCATTTCTATCAGCAAGCCCGTATTTTCCAACTACCTCTTTGTTTTCAATTTTGTGTTAGAATTACCAGTTATTATCAATGCCTCTTAATTTTATGTTTATCAATTTCAGACTCAGGAAATTAGCAGAATTCTTAAATCTCTTCATCATTGACTTTAGTGGCTAATGAATAAGTTTGATAAATAGTTGTGTTAATTGGTCTTTTTTTCAGGTGTGTAGTGGCTCTGTAGGATCAGCATTGGACTGCAACCACAAGTTCGACAGTTCATACCCATGAACTGCTCCTCTGAAAAATTGTACAAAGTCACTATGAATGGGAATTGACTCGACAACACTTAGCAACAAGAACAACACCTCAAGACAGTTCTTGAAATGTTCTTTTTGACAATGAATGTGATGCCATTCCTCTTCAATTTGTCATTCCTGATATACTAATACATGTGTTGTCTGATTATAAATGGCTAATATCACTCCATCTCATTTTACTAATGCCTATGAAATTGACTTCCAATTTCCCTAGATTCAGATTTCAGATATTTATATTATGAGTATTAATGGATGTTTGCTGTGTTTCTTCTCATTTTGAGTCATGGCCCAGCAGCACATGAAAATCTAAATGACTTACTCCATCCATATCATTAAGGTTGACTCTCATTTGAGGAAGCAGCTCTTCTCCAGTCATAGTTGAAGTGTTTTACAACCTGAAGAATTCCTGTTTCAGCACAATATCAAATAACATTCTGCTGCTGTTTGTAAAGTTATCAGTGGGTAATCCTTTAGAAGGGGACCTATTCCTTCTTCCTGGACTGTCTTAGTCCAGAAGCTCCACTGAAATCTGTCCATCTTGGGTACCTTGGCTTGTATTTGAAACATCAGTGGCATAGCTTCCAGGATCATAAAGACATGAAAGCCACCACAGTTTGACAAACTATAAGTGCTATTTGTTGTTGTTGTTGTTAAATGTCGTCGAGTCGGTTCCGACCCATAGCGACCCATAGAACACAGTAAATACAAGTCTAACAAACTAAAAGATGGGGAATGAATATAAGCATATTTAAAAGCCTGTGGCACTATAAGATAAACATTGGACTGAACAACAGAAAGTCCTTAGTTTGACTTCACCAGTCCCTCATGGAAGATAGATGAGGCTTTGTGCTCCCACAAAGATTTACAGCTTCAGAAACCCTACATGAGGTCACTATGAGTTGGAACAGACTCTACAGCACTTGATAACAACAAAAGAACATATAAAAAAAGATGTGCAATTTTATTAAACTTTAAAACTATACAAATTTACTAAAGAACGAGTCCCTTTTAATATAGCATATTAGAAATAATTGATCATTCCAAGAAGTATTTTCCTGTGGAGACTGACATTCTGTTATGTTATTTGAAGAAGTATAAATTGATACATTAAAAAAAAGAAGTAGGTAACACAACCAATATTTAAAGCATTTATTTAAAGTAAAAGTCCAGTTTTAGAGATATATTTCACCAGAAAAAATTACAGAGTCCTTTAAGAATGCTTACTGCAATATAACACACACATTTCCTGCAGCCTCCCTGTCTATCAATAGTTTGCATATGTTGTTGCTACTGTTAGGTGCTGTTAAGTGAGTTCTGACCACAGCGGCCCTGTATCGAGTTTTCAAAGAGAAACTGGGTGTTTGAACCACCAACCATGTGGTTAACAGTCCAGTGCTGATCCCACAGTGACACACCAAGTCTCCCTTTTTTATATGTAGCTCACAATAAAATGCTATCAAACCATAAAAAAGAATGGTGATTTGCAGGCTGACATGAAAGTTATTTACCTATATAATCACATTTAAAACCAACATGCATACTGACCCAAATGTATGTATATACTTTTAATTACATATATATATTTAATTATGTAAGACAATACCAGTACAATATAAAAATAAAAATTTGTTTGAGAAAACAAGACACATCTGCGGAAAAAGTCCATAAGCTATTTCTTTAACATACTTTAGCTTTTTTGTTCTTAAGACCTTTTGGAGCCAAATAATACGGGATGTGAGAACAAAAGAGACGAGGAGACGGGCGAGCGTGGAAGTCCACTTTTCGTATATTATACTCAAGGAAAGGAGCTCTATCCAATGTTTCCACATTATCAGTTCTGTTACGATGTTCCTCAAAATAAATCAGACTTAATATCTGCTGAGTCCAGATTGTACCTGTAAAGATAAATAATCTTCTTATAAACTCCGAATTGATGTCTACTAGTGAATGTAGAATCCTGTCTTCCATTTCTCACTCTCCTCTTTTGAACTTCTCGATGCAGACTCTAAAGTTTGTCCAAGTGTTTTTGTTTGTTTGTTTTATATTGAACATTTAAAATTAATAATGTTGCAGGGAGGCGGCAAAATGGCTGACTAGGCCAAAAAGCTGTATGGACCCTCTACGACAAAGATATGGAAAACCAAAATAAAGAGATGCAGATCACAGTCCTGGAACTCTGAGCTTCAGATGAAGGGATAGAGAAGTGCACTGAATGCTTGCTAGATGAGAGAGCTGAGGAGATGAGGCAAAATATGCACATATTGCTGACCTATTCCAACCAACAATCTTGAACTTTTGTGAGGATTTCATTGACAAGAAAACATGAACGTGTTGTCGAAACATACCTGTGACTTGTAGAGATAATAGTGTAAGTTTGTTTTCTTTTCTTGTTCTCTACATTCTCCTGAGACCACAGGTGAGGCTGGCCCCCACCTTCGTACACCCCAGGGAAGCTCCTGATCTCCCAAAGGTTGGGGCTACATTGAGATGAGTGCAGTGGCTGTGGGCCCCATTAAAGGAAGGGAGAGCTATCTATATAGACCTATTCACACTGGCCCTGCTCCAAGTCTTTAGAGTCGGCCCTGACTAGCCTTGGACTATCTCTCACTAGGAGAAGCAGCTCAACGTAGGTGTGGGTGTTGTGGGGTGGGGAGGAGAAGAAAAGAGATAGGAGATCTGTGCCAGCCAAGTGACCAGTCGACCAGCCATGATATAGACATCTTGAACTTCTGTGGGTGACTCTAAAGACAAGAGGGCAGCAGGTAGCACAGAGGTATAGGGCTGATGGGTGGAGAAAAAGAGGTGGATTTCTTTTTCTCTCATAGCCCACATTACTCTGGTGACCAGAGATGTGGCTGGCCCTCATTTACATACGCTCTCAGGGAAATACCTGCTCTCTGGATTGCTGACTTTGTATCAAAGTGTATGGTGAGCTAGCAGCACCAAACCTGGCATTTAAGATCAGATGCAACCTATTTCAGACTGGCAGAGATACATCTGGTCAGCCCCATACTCGTGGGATTCACCCTCAGCTCCCCAAAGGGATGGAAGTACCCTGATCCCCCCAGCTGCTTTGAAGTCTGCAAGAACTACTTCTGGATTGGGTGCCTAAAACAGACAACACCTAACCCTACAGGAACTCCATCAAGGGTTCAATATTATCATCTATGACATTAGATTCTTGGCTGGCTGGATACTCTAAAATTTTCTTTTTTCTGGGTCTGCTACTAACCCAGTTAAAGAAAAGATACAATTCTTTCTTTTTTCTCCCTCATCTTTTTTTCTCTTACTTTGTCTCCATTTTCCCTTTCAGCCTTTTCTGCTTTCCCTCCCTGCCCCCACTTTTCTTTCTTAACCACTGCTGCTTCTTTCTTTTTTTAAAAATTCCTCTTTTGTGTGTTTTACTACTCTATGATATCTTTCCCTTTTACTGAATTAGTGGGAAGAGTTAGTAAAAGAGAAAGAAACTAAAGAGTACTAAAAAAAGAGAAAGAGAGATATTAAAAAAAA